TTTCTTCTGCCAGTATCTCTGTCTGCTTGCTTTCTTCCCTACTGCCACTTCTCACAGCAGCTGAGTGAGCCAGGTGTCTAATCATAGCTGTCAATCGTCCCTTATTTGGCAGGAAACTCCCTTATCCCAGCGCCGTTTCCCGTCCCTTACTAATGATGTCCCTTCCTGTCCCTTACTGATGATGTCCCTTAAATTTCCCGGGTTTCAAAGGAAGCAGCTCCTCTCCCCCCTCCCTGCCGGCCAGGGAGGAGGGAGGCTCCAACTGTGTTGCTCACCCAATAAGGAGTCTAAGAACGACTGGGGGGTGGAGCTTGCATACCTTGTGCCGATCAAATCAGCCGCATTGCCTGGGGACTCGCCTTTGCTCAGTGCTTCCCAGCAGAGAGGTGATGGTGGTTTTCCTTGCTGCATCCCCTTTACTGGGTTGCTGCGCTGTGGGAAACACCGCTCGAGGCTTCATTTGGCTGCTGGCTGGGCTTTCTGCCTTTGGGGCTCAGAAGTTGAATATACCTGTGCTCGGAATTGGAGGGATACGTCATCAACGGCCCGCTCACCCTTGCCGGGGAAAAGGTCTGTCTGGAGCGGGGGCACATGGTGGGGGGAAAGGAAAGGAGCTGGTTCAGTACAATGACGGGCGGCAATCTCGTGGGAGGTGGGGATTTTGGATTTGTTTTGGAGGTTTCTTCGATTGACTGTTAAGGGGGAAAGGAAAGGAGCTGGTTGACTAAAATACCTTATTTTGGCTGCTGGTCCCTTATTTTCAAATCTGTAAGCTATGTGTCTAATGCATACTCACCCCTTTTCACGATCCCCAAACAGACCTGTTCAGAGAGCAAACCTGGCACATCTGGTGCACATACCTGTATGCTCCACCACATCACCTGCAGTCTGAAATGGTGCAGTTTGGATTCCCACCACAACTATACATAATGTGGACAACAGTAAATTTTGAATAAAAAAAATGACTCAGTTGAGGAATGGAGGAATGTGGTTGTACAAGAAGGTGGCTTGGAACTTCATCTTGGAACTTCAAAACTTACCATCAGAAATCATCCCTCTGACTCCCACAATTTCAGGACATTGTTTAGTCCCCTGTATCTTGCTGAATTGACATTCTGTATGATTTAGAGACTTGCCCTTTAGAATTCAGGGTCCAGGAATATCTTGACGTATGGGAGCCCATGTCAGCAGTGCCGTTTTTGCCGTTTCCCCATAAAAATAGCTCAAAACTGATATGTTTTGGCGTTTTTGCTAAATTTCCTACTTTGTTAATGGGCTACATCTCAACTAAAAATCAACTTGAGGCAACCCTTTTAAGATTTGGCTAGGCTATAATCAGTGCTTTTTTCTGGGAGGACGCAGGGGTATGCATACCCCTAAACATTTTGTGGACTTAAGTTTGGTCTCATTGAGGGGCAATATTTCGATATGAGTAGGAAAATGAGAGCACCCCTAAACATATTTTAGGGGGGGAAAGCACTGGCTATAGTCTGGTGTATACATTTTCACTTGTAATGTGATTTCATTTATTTGTTTGGTTTGGCCCTAATGCAAAGAGACCCAGTTCTGGTCTTGTTGTGTGTTATCATCTTATATCTGAAGGCATGCATCAATGTATGGTGTTTTTTCTTTCTTTCAAGATTATGTTTCCAGTATGATTTCCTACTTATATGAAATCAACAGAGCTGATTTTTAAAATTAAAATATTCAATTGATAGACCATAATGGTTAATTATTTACAAGCAAGTTTCAGTTTAAAATGATATTGTAAGTGTCAGCATTATCATTATTAAAATTAAAATGCATTCTTTGAGAAGTAGTTAACATACCTCATTTAGTTTAAGTGTCATGAATACTAAAACGTTTTTCTCCCTATCAGTACATAATTACATCTAGGTAAAATAGTTTCTCTATTTCAGCCCTAGGACAGTATATGCAACACTGCAACTCTCTATAGAAGTACAAATAAAGTTGCAAGTGTTTAATAATTTTCCTTGCTCTTTTCTGCACCTTTTCCAATTTTGTGGTATCCTTTCTGAGATTATCAATTATTTTAATTATTTGCCTTAGCCATAAGCAACTGCAAATCCACCATAAAACAAATATGCGGGTGTTTTATTTCTAAAATTCTGAAACCACATTAGCTAATACTCCTAGCATAACTAATTTATGAGTCCTATCCAACCAGGTTATAAAGAAAAACTTTCTCAATATCACTATCTCAGCAGCATTTGGAGTGAATTTAAAATTGCATTCATGTACACAGATTGTTCCCCTTTTCTTGCTAGCTAGTCAGGCAAAGGATGCAGCAGACCAAGTAATTATCATAATTTGCTTGCTAGCAAGCTTTCTCATTCCTGAACAGGGGAACAAAAGAGACACTGTGCAAAAATGGGGCCAAGAGGCTGTTTCTATATTTAGCATAAATGGGCACCGTCCAGCCAAGTTAAGCATTTTTAAGTCCTGTTGATGTCAAGTGGATTGTTGAGCATATGCTTATATATCTGACTGGCTCATGCTTTAAACTTCAGTCTAAGGGCCAAACTCAACATGACGTTAATTGTGTGAATGCAGCTAACACACACACACACACACACACACACACACACACATACACACACACATTTGCTTCTTCTTTGGTGATCACTCGTAGCCAAGTAAGATTTTCTTCCATGGACACGTTTTAACAGTGAGTCTGTAAGTGACTATGGAGACCAATTCTGGATCCACATGTCCTTCCACAGTGGGGACATAGGTTTCTGGGCGGGAGTTGATCATGGCGAGGGTTTGCCAAGCGTGTCTTCCTCTTAGCGCGTTTCTCCCTTTTGTCCTGAGTTCGAGAGTCTTCATAGCCCATGACACCTTTGGTAGAGGCTGTTCTTCAACTGGAGTGTTCGCAGGCCAGTGTTTCCCAGTTGTCGGTGTTTATACTACACTTTTTTAAGGTTTGCCTTGAGAGAGTCTTTGAGCCTCCTTTGTTGACCACCAGCATTACACTTACCATTTTTAAGTTCGGAATAGAGTAGTTGCTTTGGAAGACGATAATCAGGCATCCGCACAACATGACCAGTCCAGCGAAGCTGATGTTGAAGAATCATTGCTTCACTCTTTCATGCAAAGGGGAAGCACCCTTGGCACTGCAAGGGTGGGGAGGAAAAGGTTTATAATCCCTCCCACTTCACCTTTCAGAGAATGAAAATGGCCTCCTTCACCAACAATGCTGCTATTTGAATTCAGAGGGAAAGTTCTTCCTGCTGGCGCGTCTTTCATATCCAAAACAAAAACATCCTTGAAACAAAGGAAATCTCTCCTACCTGCACACCTTGATTGTATCCACCTGCTGTTGGTATTGTTTTTGATGGCTACAGGCTACTTACGACATTGATTATTTTATTGCATTTATACCCCACTTTTTCCTCCAAGGAGCTCAAGGTGGCACACATGCTTTCCCCCTGCCCTCTTCCTTTAATCTCCACACCAACCCTGTGAGATGGGCTAGGCTGAGGGACAATGACTGGCCCAAGCATCATGGACAAGCAGGGACTTGAAGCCTGATCTCCCAGGTCCTAGTCTGACACAGTAACCACACTGGCAAGGAATCACCTAGTAGGAAACCACCTGGTAGGAATCAGAAAGCAAAACGGACAGGGCCGATGTTAATGAGCAGACATGGCAGGGGAAATCAGGAGACTCAAATGAGGGCTCAGCTCCAGGATTTGTGCGCCAGGGGGAGCTTTGGAGAAGGCACACCCAGGGAACCCCTTCTGATCTCATGTGTGAATTTTCGCATAGTGCCTTTGAGTTTCTTGGGTGTCTTGGGCAAAACGAGAACAGGGCCACTGGTGGTTGTTGTTTAGTCATGTCCGACTCTTTGTGACCCCATGGACCAGAGCACGCCAGGCACTCCTGTCTTCCACTGCCTCCCACAGTTTGGTCAAACTCATGCTGGTAGCTTCGAGAACACTGTCCAACCATCTTGTTCTCTGTTGTCCCCTTCTCCTTGTGCCAACATCAGGGTCTTTCCCAACATCAGGGTCTTTTCCAGGGAGTCTTCTCTTCTCATGAGGTGGCCAAAGTATTGGAGCCTAAGCTTCAGGATCTGTCCTTCCAGTGAACACTCAGGGCTGATTTCCTTAAGAATGGATAGGTTTGATCTTCTTGCAGTCCATGGGACTCTCAAGAGTCTCCTCCAGCACCATAATTCCAAAGCATCAATTCTTCGGCGATCAGCCTTCTTTATGGTCCAGCTCTCACTTCCATACATCACTATTGGGAAAACCATAGCTTTAACTATACGGATCTTTCTTGGCAAGGTGATGTCTCTGCTTTTTAAGATGCCGTCTAGGTTTGTCATTGCTTTTCTCCCAAGAAGCAGGCGTCTTTTAATTTTGTGGCCACTGGATCTTTTGCCAAATGAAAAAAAAATGATGCTGCGTTATAATACGTCGACCATTGTCCGCACTTGGAGATGCCAGTGACTGAACCTGGGACCTGCTTGCAAGAGAAATGCTGTACTGCTTAAGCTATTGCCCTTCCCATAAATGCATCTGACAGTTGCTCAAGCTGGCTGCCCTCAGAAGCCAGTCCCATTAGGGCTATATAGGTCATGCCAACACAGTCTGTCATATCCAAGGATCCAGCGTTTGCATAAATCCATATAACACTTTAAGTTTTAAATTGGGGGTTTGGTGCAATGCCAGCTACTGTTTTTGAAAGGCTCTCCACTCTCCTTCTTTAGCCTCTTGTATTCCTAAAAAAAAAGAGAGAGAAAAGTTCAGTCTCCTAACTTTTCTTTCCCTGATAAGAGGCCCTACGACTTATATTAACTTCTAAAAAATGCTCTTTGCTACGTTGAGCAGTTTATTCATTAACTGAATAGAGAAGCACTCATCTCCTCTTTCAGGGAGAAAAACAAAACAAAGAACCCCAACCTTGTACTATTAGAACCGTAATGATTCAAAGGCGCAAATCTACTCCTGTTGCCTTTTTCACTCCGGCCACTTAAGTTTTGTAACCAATTAATCTGGTTTTGGAGTGGCGGAGTTTGGGGAGAGAAACAGAGGGAAGATATTTGTTTGCTTGATTCCACATGACAACTCCAGGGTAACTGAATAGACTGTACGGTTGGTTTGACAAGGCAGAACATTCAGCCAGCAGCTTCACATACCAGAGGCAGGGGGTTGGCAGGGGGACTCTGACAGTTGTAATGGATTTTATCAGAATTTCTCCAAAGGCTTGACTGTTTTCTCTTCAATTATTAATGCTTTGCAGAGGGGTTGTTTGCTCCTCTTTCTGTGAGGTAATGAATAACTATTAACTTAAACCAATATGCATTCCTATTAGTTTTTTTCACTGATGAATAATGAATTGTGTGGGGGGTTGGGAGAGGGGGGGGACAGAGCCTCAGATTTCTGCATGTCAAAACACCAAAGTTGATTTCTGAGGGAGCATAAAACGCAACCTTAGAAGTTGTGGCGGATTGGGAAATGACATGGCTATTGCTACAGATGTTTGTGTGTGAACTCGCATTGACGTTGCTCTTTAATATGTGGGCTGGATACGGTGTGAATTGAGTTCAGATGCTACTGGAAGAGGAAGCAGGCTCTGTTTAGACTGTAATGTTTCACTGTGTACATATAGCTTGATTCTTTTCACCTTTCTTAATTTCACTTCAGTTCTCTGGGATAACACATTTTCTCTCTCGCTGCCTTCGTTTACAAAATGCTGTATTGTGGCAGCCTTAATTTGGGGGCAAGTTCAGTTTAGGAGAACAAAAATATCATTGTTTCATTGCAGAGTTTCTTTAATAGATGTCTAGTTGCCAGTCACTGAGGCAGACCCCAAGAGCATTGAGGAAACGCTATGTAGTTGCACTCACAATGGATTCTGAGGGTCCCAGTTAACTGATTGTGATATTTTGAATTGAGGTTTTCTGAGTTTAGGCTTCTCTGGGATGCTTCATTCTGTCTGCCTCCAGTTTAAACCAAAATCAAGTTTAGCTATAAGTTTGTAACGTGTCTAGAACTGTTTTGGCTCATCTAAGTACTAATACACTAAATATTATGAAAATAAATAATAACTAACAACAACATGTTATGCATGCTTACTCAGAGGTAAGTTTCATTGTGTTCAAAGGGGCTTACTCCCAGATTGTATGTGGAATTGTATTTTGGTTTCTCATTTTTCCCATTTTAAGTTCATTTCTCCATATTTTGATATCAGTTTCCAATTTTTAAAAAATTCTTATGAAAAGTAAGCAGAATTATAGTGCAAATTTTCCCTAAGATATGCATTTTTATGCAATTTTGCACAATGTAATGTTTTTTGCATATGGATTTCCCCCCAAATATAATGCATTTTTGTATATTATTTTTCATTAATATATTATTGTTATGCACACTTTACGCAAGTATATGTCTCTTCGTACATATTACTTAGCTGGAGAACTGCACTGCAAAATTTAGAGAAGTGTGAATTTCAAAGGATGGCTGTATTTCGGTTTACAAATTTGTTTAGGAATGTATGAATTAGGTTGGTTCACCTTTAAATGTGAACTGAATTGAATTTCTCCCCATCCACACTTCCAGGTCAGTGAATACAAGACTTCATACTAACAGCACAATCCAGCATGAATTCAGCCCCTTAAATTCAGTGGGGCTTACTCCCAGGTAAGTGTTTCTAGGGTTATATCATTATTTACTTACGTTTTGTCAACTCTGCACCTCTTAACCTTCAACTCTTTATAGAAACATTAATTTGTGATTGAATATTCAATGCAGAAGTATTGCAAAGTACTGTAGAAGATTATAAAATAACATTGTGATATTCCTTCTTCTTCTGCAAATGTATTGTTACTGCTCAGTTGTCACTAAACAGCTCAGAAGGATACATGAGCGGCTCAAATACTGTAACAAAAGTTAGCTACATTTGTTTCAGCATTTCAGGCGATAGTCCTCAAAGAACTGTTGTCCTGTAATAACCTGATTATGGGCATTTATGTTGGTCAACTAAATTCGGAAGGACATATTGCCTGTACCTGATCCCAGGTGTTGGTCATGTTTCTAATCTAATGGTTAAAAGGGGGCAGGGTTTGCTTCTGATTCTGGCTGAAGAATCACCTCACAAATAAAAATATATAATATATTCATAGCCTTTAAAATGTAGGTTTACAGTGGTACCTCGGGTTACATACGCTTCAGGTTACACACTCCACTAAGCCAGAAATAGTGCTTCAGGTTAAGAACTTTGCTTCAGGATAAGAACAGAAATCGTGCTGTGGCGGCGCAGCAGCAGCAGCAGCAGGAGGCCCCATTAGTTAAAGTGGTGCTTCAGGTTAAGAACAGTTTCAGGTTAAGAAGGGACCTCCGGAACGAATTAAGTACCGGTACTTAACCTGAGGTACCACTGTATTTTAATTTAACAAAGTGGAGTGGATTTTATGACCTCCTTTTGTCAAGGAAGGAAGACTACATCCTCATGCTAAATATTATATAGACTAAAGGCAATCCTAAAGCGATATCCCCCAGGTTAGGGTCTAGCAGATCTCCAGATGAGCATATCTACTTTTTAGCCTGGCTCAGCTGGGACACAGCTGGCTGAACCAAGCCTGGTGGTTCTTAAGCTGATATAAGTGCTGAAAAGCAGGCATTCTGAGGGTGTTGTGGAGTGGGACAGGAGGAAGTTTTAGGCTGGATCCTAAGTTTCTCCAGCATTGTCACATGATGTGGCATAAATTAATCCAGTAAAAAGGGGGCTGTAACAAACTATTTTGGGTGGCGCTGTGGGATAAACCACAGAGCCTAGGACTTGCCGATCAGAAGGTCAGCGGTTTGAATCCCCACGACGGGGTGAGCTCCCATTGCTTGGTCCCAGCTCCTGCCAACCTAGCAGTTCGAAAGCACGTCAAAGTGCAAGTAGATAAATAGGTACCGCTCCGGCGGGAAGGTAAACGGCGTTTCCGTGCACTGCTCTGGTTCACCAGAAGCGGCTTAGTCATGCTGGCTACTGTTACGAAAAGGAGCAATGCAGAAGCGAGCTCCAGATGGCTGGAAAGCCAAACAGGATGTTGATGCTTGTGGCTGTACCATGGGATCAAAGGGGCAGTCTATTCACTGTACTGAGCACCGGATGTTAGCTCAGAGTGTCATCTGACCTGTACTGAAAGTACAGGGGGAGGAGTTTCTCTCTCTGCTGTTGGTGTTAAGAGAGTACAGACACGTTTCACTGTACTGCTGAAAGACAGAAATAAAAGGCATGTAAATACATTTCTGTCTGTCTCTTTCCCCTCCCTGGGGAATGGCAGGGAGGAGGGGAGGAGTAGCGTGTTCTTCTCACGTTGGGGAGGATCACTGATAGAAGATCTCGCCTGGTCTTGCCGGGAGTCGAAGACGGGGAGGTCAACAAGGAATCATAGCCGGGTGCCTGGAGAGTGGTCAATTCCTCTGACAAGGCTTAAGATTCCAACAGCTACATGAACCGGAAGCTGTATGCCGCCTCCCTCGGACAATAAAGCGAGATGAGCGCCGCAACCCCAAAATCGGTCACGACTGGACCTAATGGTCAGGGTCCCTTTACCTTAACAAACTATTTTACAGCTTCTGCTGGGATTTAGGCCAGCTCCAGCCAATAGTAGCCCTGCCCCTGAACAGAGTTTGGATCTAGCATACTTTATGCCATCTTAATTTAAACCATCATAATTTATGCTGGCTTCCATATTTAGGATTGCTCCCTAAGCATCTACATCTGATTGATTTGTTTTTTCTTTATATAATTGATTAGGGTTCAAAAACTGGAATGTAGAACTGGTGGCTTTCGCTGGACTAGGTCAGTCCTTCTATTCCTCTGAAGTCAAACTATCTACCTATGAGGCATCACCAGAAACTGACGCTGGGTAATTTGGATACAGGTAGGCCTACCAACCAGGAAATATGTTAGTGGCCCAAGCAGTAAAACTGTATTTTATCATGTCACCCATACTGGTGTCTGGAGAGGAGGTAAAGTCTATATTTTCCTATGCTGTGCCTCAGACATGTTGGGTTCCAGCTGTTCTGCCCATCCCTGATGCTGGACACCAGTATTTTGAAAAACCCTTTTAAAAAAAATCTTATTTATTGTTGTCAGAGACTGCCTCCAGGTCCCAGCTCACAGAGGACCAACGCTAGCCAGTTGAACTGTACAAAAGTCTTTATTGAAGCATAGTTTCCATGTTCTAACCCTAGCGTGCATCTCTACGTCTAGAGCCTAGACCGACGAAGCTCCGTCTGAATCTCCGCCCCCTGTACACCAGCTTAAGACTCTAGCCTTACTCCACCTTTTCCGTCTCTCCTTACGCCTCTGGGTCCTACCACCCCCCGGGGTCCCTTCCTTCCTGGACTCTTCGGAAGCGGACCCCTCGGACTCTTCGCCCTCCCTTCGGCGGGCTTTAGGACCTGGCTCCCTATCCGGGCTGCTCATTGCGCCACCCTCTTGTACATTTGAACTTGGCGCGCGCGCGCTGCCTCCGACCTTCCTTTTGACCGTTTCCTCACTCTCTGATGCAGGCGTGGCTAACCCTGACTCATGTCCTTCCGCTGACGGAAAGCTGCCTGATGCCGATGCCTGGGACTCCTCCCCCCTACTGCTCTCCGGTGGGACAGCTGGTCCCGATTTCCAACTGCTGCTCTCTGAGTCCCCTCTGGCCCCTCCTTCCTGGGGTGTTCCCTCTGGCAACCCCCTAGCTCTGACCACGGGAGCCCCTTTCTGTGAATCCTCCGATTCGCTGGAGAGACTTAGAGACCTCGGGCGGCTATCATCGCTAACTTCTCCCTCGGATTCCTCCCCCTCGGTCTCTAATTCCTCCCTCTCCTGTCCCTCTGCTCCTGAGCCCCTGACAATTGTATTTAAATATTTTTACATCAGTTTTCTGCCCAGATTGACCTTCAGGGCATCTTTTAATCATCAAAAAGTTTAAAACATCATTAAATACAAACATAAGATTAAAAAAATACAGTCACTAATTTTTTTAATCCCCTAAAATTAAAGCTATCAAAACATTTCACAGGAGAGGAATAAAACCCCAGACTAGCAGAGATCTGGTGAAGCAAAGGTGCGTGTCTGTGGTTTTGTTTTGTTTTTGTTTTTAAATTCATTTTAAAAAACCATGAAGAAAGGTCCATCTGGCTGCCTGGGAGTTGTGGGCACAACAAACGACAAGATCCTGTCTTGCACTCCAGCAGCCCGATGAGCCTCTGAACATAACAGGATGCGAAGCAAGGCATTCTGAATGACTGCAGTGTTTGGACAGGTTCATATGAGAGAAGGCAGCCTTTCGAGTTCGCCACACCAGAAGGATGCTAAAATGTACGCTGAGATTTAAAGAAACTCTTGCATATTGTCGATTTCCAACTTTTCTTTTCCTACCAGCGCTGCAGCAGAGGCAGCCCCTAAACCGGTCCAGAATATAATATAATAAGTCAGATTTCTGGTCCATCTAGCCCAGCCTTTCTTAACCTTGGGTCCCCAGATTTGTTGGACTACAACTCCCATCATCCCTAGCTAGCAGGAGCAGTGGTCACGGATGATGGGATTTGTAGTCCAACAACTTCTGGGTACCCAAGGTTGAGAAAGGTTGATCTAGCTCAGCTTGTCTGCAATGACTGGCAGCAGCTCTCCGTGGTTTCAGATGGGACATTCCCGGTTGTTCTACCTGGAGATGCCAGGGACTGAACCTGGAACCTCAGGCTTGCAAAAGACATACTCTACCACTGTGGACCTTTGGGTTTTGCCCATCTACAGGAACATAAGCTCTAACGACAATGAAAGACATGTATATACCCCCAAATTAGACTCTACTATAAGAAAATCATCTTTATAATAACTTTCCCTCTGTAATAAATCTCCCCCTTTCAATATGGTAAGGAATCTTTTAAGTTAGTAATATGAAATTTGTAGCTGAAAATGACAGTGTATGTACAGTGGCACCTCGGGTTAAGTACTTAATTCGTTCCGGAGGTCTGTTCTTAACCTGAAACTGTTCTTAACCTGAAACTGTTCTTAACCTGAGGTACCACTTTAGCTAATGGGGCCTCCTGCTGCCGCCAGGCCGCCGGAGCCCGATTTCTGTTCTTATCCTGAAGCAAAGTTCTTAACCTGAAGCACTATTTCTGGGTTAGCGGAGTGTGTAACCTGAAGCGTATGTAACCCGAGGTACCACTGTATAGTGAACCATATAGATGAATACTAATTCTTGGGACAGCTTCATTAACTATAAGCAGTATAAAGAGCTGAATTTACAAGTGCAAAGTATAAAACATATGCAGAACAACTTGGACTGAATCACTTCCCTGAATACTTTGGTTGCAGCTGGCATCTTTATTTGCTTACGTGAGTTTACATGCTGTCTATGGCCTGGTTAGTCAAAATGAAGGGCAGGATCCCGTCGTGACAGAAGGAAACGGAGAGACATGTAAGAAACAATGGCTGTTTTGTAGGAAGTGTCTCAATGTATGTGTCTGATCCCATGGGAACTGCAGTAGACCATACATGCTTTGTGGAAGTGAGATGCTCTCTTTCAAGATATTGTTAATCCTTTCCTTTCACTGGAAACATATTTGTGAATGTTGTTGAAACGTTGCCTGGGAGATTCTATGAATTCTACAACAATAAAAATAAAACAACTTATGTTGCTCTGGAAGGATGCAAAGGATGGCAAACATGTTATGGCCAAAGAGGAAAATTTATTATTATTACTATTATATAGTTACTTATTTATACCCTGCCTTTTCCCCTGATAGGGCTTTAATATTATCCAGAATGAGAAAATGAACACTTGGTACTCAAAAGTTACAATTTGCCACGTGTCTGATGAAGGTTTTGGATTGAAACCAGTCTAGTTTTATTGATTTTAAACTGGCTTTAAGCATAAACCTTGCTAGCCAGAATGCCTGCATCATTTCATTAAAATCAATGCAAACATGACATTTATGTTGAACAAAGTCAGGTCTGGGTTGCGTTTCATATTTAAGGGTCGGTTAGAGAATTTGTGATTAATAAATTGTGTAGAATGTAGATTCACACATCTGTTTTCAGCATCAGAGCAAACAGGCCATCAGGTGAGACATTATTTTGTTGGGTTCATCCCACTGTCTGGAAGCTACTTTCCCCACAGTCAAGTTAGGTAGCCCCACCATCCTTGGGCAAAACATTCCCTGCAAACATATTGCTGCTATGTTACTTTTAAAGGCACAAACATAAACTATCAGAATGTAAAAGCTAGTTTTAAATGTGTGTTGTTGAAACCTCCACACAGTTTGCCTCATCTCATATACCAGCTGTGATCTAAGCTGGAAGGAGAGAACCTGGGCTGCAATTAGCCCATGCTCTGGTAACCTCCTGTTTAGACTAATGTAATGCGTGGCGGATGGGGCTGCCTTTAAAGATGGTCTGGAACAGTTAGCTCAGACTAATACTGCAAGGTTATTAAGTGGGACTGGTCCCTTTGACCATTTATGTCTGTCCTTGTCAGCTGCCCTGGCTCCCCATCCATTTGTGGGCCCAATTTAAAGTACTGGTTTTAATCTTTAAAGCCCTAAACAACTTGGGATCAGTTTATCAAGAATACCCTCTTCTCCCATATGTAAGTACCTGAACAGTAAGGTCTTTTTTGCAGAAGGTTGAGAAGCAAGACATAAAATGAAAGGTTGAAGGAAGTGAATGTTTGCTGCTTAACGTGAAGAAAATTAAGGAGAGCAGGGAGGGCAAGTGATAAATTTCAAATATGTAGAAGTTGCCTTCAAAACATGTAACAATTATTCTCTTGTTCAGTTAGCATGAGGAAGAAGGTTTTATTTTTCTGGAAGAAAATATTAGGAGGAAAAAACAAAGCTTGAGGAAAAAACCTTTGACTGAAACATGTTACACCTAAAAGGGCAAGTCTCATTTATAACTTCCTTAAATAACTGCTTGAGCCAAATGCATTTTTCTTAGAATTGTTCCTGTTTCCTTAAAGCGAAGGGGCAAAAAATGTAAGCCGGCAAGTTTGCTTTGTGCTATAAATCACTGAATCTAGTTCTATTCAGGCTCTAGTGATAAGAGGTAAATGACACAAGGCTTATATAGGTCCCAGAGGCAGGCACCACAACTAATATTGTGTCATATATACCTGATAAACACATTGCAAAATACATCTGGGATGAATTCCACCCCCCCCAAAAAAAAACTCATTCAGAGAAGAACTAGAGCTTAGCAGTAGAGCACATGCAAAGGTCCCAGATTCATTCCTGGGCATCTCTAGTTGAAAAGATGAAGAAAGGCCACTGCCCAAGACCCAAGAAAACCATTGTCAGTCAGAGCAGACAGTGCCAGGCTGGATGGATCAATGGTCAACTAAGACAGCTTTCCATGTTTTTAAAGAAACACGATCTTGTGGTAAGGGCTGTGTCTCAATGTAATATGATAATCAAAAGCTGTGGATTCCACTCATCTGCCTCCTATTGGGCTGGGAAATCTGTGACCCTCCAGATGTTGTTGGATTATAATTCCCATCATCCCTGAACATTGGCTATGCTGGTTGGGGTTAGTGGGAGTGGATCTACATCTGGAGAGCAGCTATCTGGAGAGTTTCCTATCCTTGGACAAAATGATGGTGGGTCAAGATAAGAAACACTGATTTTGACAGCGGTTGCTGACGCTTCATTTCACTTCCATCTTGTGTTTATTCCTGGAATGTATAAAGAAACGAGAGGCTGAAATGAATTCAGGAATTGTAATACTGGGGCCGTATTACACATTATGATTTTTTCAAAAAAGTGTGCCCCCCGCCGTTGATACTGCTGCCTGAGGTGGTTGCTGCACCTTTAGTCATGGGTACGCCAGCCTTGTTATATTGGCTTCAGAAGAGCTCTGTTGCTATGGCTACTCCAGTCCTGA